CACTGACATGGGAAAAATAAAAATAAAAAAGAACTCTGTCTTTGTCTTTATAGCGTGTTTGGGTCCTAGAACCACCCCCCCCGCCCCCACCGTGTCAAGAAGAAATTTCCGCCACCATCTTCACCCGATTAGAACGCCCGGTTGTTATCGTTGCAACTAGACCGAACGTTGCTGAAATTCAGCTATAATGACCGGGCGTTATATTCGGGTGAGGATGGCAGTGTGTGTCATGATTGTGAAAGACACAAGAGCTGCGTTCACATCGAGACCAGGCCCGCCTGGCACAGGGTGAAAGCCTGCAGCCGTGCTGGTACACGCACTGGACCCAGCAGTCCAGCTGGTGCGCAGATGGAACCAACGGTCCTTCTGGAGCACACAGTGTAAAGCCAGGTACACGTACACACAGTGGGCTCAGGAGGTGAACTGGTGCAGAAATGCAACCAGCAGTCCTTCTGGAACGCAGGTGAAACCAGCTATGTTGCCTGGCGCAGAGTGGGACCCAGCAGCAGTGCTGCTACACACGATGGACGCAGTCATCCATCTGGTACACCGTTGGAACCAGCCGTTCTGCTGGTGCACAGAGTGAAACCCAGCAGTCCAGCTGGTACACGCAGATGGAACCAGCACGCCAGCTGGTACACAGATGGAACCAGCAGGCCAGCTGGTACACAGATGGAACCAGCAGTCCTACGTCGAACAGAACAGAGAGGAACGAGCGACCGTGCTACGTAGTACACAGACATGGACTCAGCAGGTGAACTGGTACACGAATGGAACCAGCAGTCCTACGTCGAACAGAGAGGAACGAGCGGCCGTGCTACGTAGTACACAAACATGGACTCAGCAGGTGAACTGGCACACGAATGGAACCAGCAGTCCTGCTGGAACGGACAGCAACCAATCCTGACTGACTGTGTACCAGCTGGCACAAAGTGATACCCAGCAGTTCTGCCGATAGACTAGATTGAATCCCAACAGTCCCGCCGGTACGCAGATGGAACCAGCAGTCCACAGCTGGGACACAGACGGAACCAGCCGCCCTGCCTGGCACACAGAGAAACCAGCGGGCATGCTGGTACACACAGTGGACTCAGCAGGTGAACTGGTACGCAAATGGAACCATCAGTCCTGCTGGAACGGACAGCAACCAACCTTGACTGACTCTGTAGCATCTGGGACAACGATGTTTGAGCGATGGATGATCTCTCTTCTCTCTCCAAGTGTAATTTACCCTAGAGGTGTAATGGGTAAGTCTGACAAGATCATACGCCATATGGCTAAATCCAACCGTCCCAGCTCTTATGTAGACTGAACCCTAGCTAATGGGAATTGAAAATTGACTGAATTGATGTGAGGCCCATTGGGATTGAATTCATTGATTGCTCTAGCTTACTCAAACCGTGAGGAGCATAAGTTTTCTTTCATTCTTTGCTCGATTATGTAATCAATCGCTTATCTTACACACAGATGGAACCACCAGCGCTGCTGGTGCACAGATGGATCCGGCAGTCCCGCTGGTACACAGATGGAACCAGCAGTCATGGTGGTACACAGATGGAACCAGCAGTCATGGTGGTACACAGATGGAACCAGCATTCCTGCCTGGAACAGAGGGAAACAACAGCTGACACACGCAGATGGAACCAGTATAGTAACCCGTGCCACCTGGAACACCCTACCTTCTTCCCCCGAATACAACGTACGGTCATTATAGCTGTATTTGAGGCATCTTTCAGTCTAGATACAGCTATAATGACCGTACGTTGTATTGGCGGGAAGAAGGTAGTCCTGCCTGGAACAGAGGGAAACAACAGCTGACACACACAGATGGAACCAGTATAGGGAGCGACATGCTTGAACCAGTCCCACATGGAACACCCTTGACCTGGTCCCGCCTGGGACATCCCAAAACTTGAACCAGCGCTGTCCCAGGGAAACCCGAGAACCATCTTCACCCGGGACACCCTAGCAGCAGCAGTGTCCCAGGCACAGTGTGATTGTGCCGAGATCTCCAGGCTGCCTGCCTGTCTGGCACAGTCATGCTAAACCTAGTCGACGAGCTGGCACAGACATAAACCTCGAGCAGCAGCGTTCCTGGTGCAGACATAAACCTGTCTGGGAATCGAGTCTTCCTGGCTGGCACAGACATAAACAGCATTCCTGGTACAGTGCCTGTCCGGAAATCCAGACTGCCTCTCTGGCACAGGCATAAACCTGAACCACTCTGGCTGGCTGTATTGCAGGAACAACGGCCGGCTGGGAACCCGGTCTACATGGGTGGCCTGGACATAAAACCCAGTCTACTTGGCTGGCATGGAAGTAAACCTTAACCAGGAGCGTTCTGGTACAGTGACTGTCCGGGAATCCAGACTGCCTGCCTGGTACAGGCATAAACCTGAACCGGTCTGGCTGGGTGTATTGCAGGAACAACGACTGGCTGGCCTGGACATGAAACCCAGTCTGCTTGGCTGGCATGGACATAAACCTAAACCAGGAGCATTCCTGGTGCAGACATAAAGGTGTCTGGGAATCGAGTCTTCCTGGCTGGCACTGACACAGACCTGAACCAGCAGCAGCATTCCTGGTACAGTGATTCTCAGGGAACCCAATCTGGCTGGGTAACACTGACATTAACCCGAGCCAAGAGTTTTGCAGAACAAGTCTACATGGCTGGCGCTGACGGAAACCTTTACCAGCAGCATTCCTGGTGCAGATGTAAACCTGTCTGGAAATCCAGTCTTGCTGACTGCTACAGACACAAACCTGAACAAACAACAGTATTCCTGGAACAGTGACTGCCCAGGCAGAAATCCTCCAACGTGCCTGGCTGGCACAGACGTAAACCTGTCCTGTCTGTAAGTGATCTGGACTGGCATTCGTGCTGAAACACACTGACTTCAGTCCTGTGCGACACCTACTGTGAAAGGAAAAAGAGTGGGAAAAATTATAGGTCCCCCACAAGACAAAAGGTTTGTACTGGCTCGCCCCCCCCCCCCCCTCCGAAGTGTTGGAGGCCCCGAAAGGCTTGAGGCACGGGGGGCATCCGTAATTTTTGCCAAGTACGTAAGATGTCCGCACATGTCAAGTTCGTAAGATGTCCTGTCCATCAATGCAGATGCAGAGGCGCTCTTGTTTGGTCGTATGTCTTCAGATTCTCTCTCCTCCGGTCCCCTCCTCTCCCCCTCCCCCCCCTTCCCCTGTCTCTCTCTCTCTCTTTCCCCCGACTCCTCCCCTCCCTCCCCGCTTTTTTCTCGCCCCTGCTTCCTACACTGCCGCTTGTCCTCTGAACATTTGTTCGTCATGATTTGATTTGCAGCAGAGATGTTGCCTGCATCTGATGTTCTTCTTGTTTTCTGTTTTCGATGTATGTATCTATCCTGCTGCTACTCTCTCTCTCTCTCTCTCTCTCTCTCTCTCTCTCTCTCTCTCTCTCTCTCTCTCTCTCTCTCTCTCTCTGTATGTTGGCCCCGCTTCCTGCCCCTGGTGCCTGTGTTGTACTGGGACGTTTGAGCACTTGTTTGTGGTTCAATTTGCAGCAGCAAAGATGTTGCCAGCGACTGGAGGCTGGCGGCTTGCAGAGATGGTGCGATCTGAAGCATGGCCATCGGCGGTCAAGGTTGCACTCTCGGGGTCTGTCAGACGGGCTTTTCAGGAAAGGATGTGAAAGGCGAAGGGGTGACAGATCGAAGGTGGTGGGTGTGGGCACGCCCAGCCCCAAGGCCATAGCCACAGTAGACAAGGCTGCAGAAACGGTGACGGATAGCCAAGATAAACAGACGTCAGGTTTGTGACTGCGGGAAAATCTTAACCTTTTTTTTTCTTTTTTTTTCAAAAGAAAAAAAGAAAAAACAAGAAAAAAAAACAAGGGGAAAGTCTTAACCTATTCATGGAATTGATTGAATTCTGTTCTATCAATTTACTGTAATTGAAACATGATAATGATTCCCGTTTGTGACTAATTAGCAATTATAGTTATGATCAATAATAATGATTCAATATAGTACTCTAATTAGGGGGACATGGCAACATAGCCTAGCTCAGTTGGTAAACCCATGAACTGTTTGAAATACAGACCCAAGTTCGAATCCAGAGGCAATCAGATGAACAGAACAAAATATTTCTGAATTACCTGGGGCCGGTTAGTTAAATGATTATATCGCAAGCCCATTGCCCTTTAAGAAGGAAAAAAAAGAAACTAGTTGTGGGGACACACTTCTACATCCACCATCAGCCTTGCAGGTGTGCAACAACTGTTCGCCGTTGATCCTGTTCGCCGTTGATCTTGCGGTTACAGTGATCGCATTGAGCTGTCAACAATAATAAAGGGACACCACTCCCCCCCCCCCCCCGGGCCCCCCCCCCTTCCAAAGGAGTAGTACGTCTAGGTCTAGAGACAGGTGTGGGTCGCACCACTGTAGGGATCGACTTGCGATCTGATTAGGATAACAAAAAAGAGTTCATGAATGTTGCCACCTGGAGGAGACTGTCCTTGGGGCTGTCACAAGCCATCTTATCTCCCCACTGGTTGAGTACAACGACAGGCACCTCCTGAGACCTAGCATCCAGCCTCTACTACTATCTGGACTTTATATAAACAAAAAGAAATAAAGAATGAGCTCAAGGAAAATAGAAGGGACAGAGTAAGGGGTTGAAGAACGGAAGTGGATACAATGTCCAATCAAGTGGATACAAGTGTCTTATGATGAGAAATGTGCAGCTCAGTGCAATGTCCAATCAAGTGGATACAAGTGTCTTATGACTCTTATCCAATTAGAACAACTACCTTCTTCCCCTGAACATAACGCATATGCGTTGTAGATGAATGAATACAACATATAGGGTGTGTTCTATTCAAACACAACACATATGCGTTCGACTCGAATAGCCCTAATTTTCTAATACAACGCTTGAATACAACGTATATGCGTTCTATTCGATTGTTTTTTTTTTTTTTTTTTTTTTTTGAATTTTCCGAAAACTCGAATACTACACATATGCATTATGTTAGGGGGAAGAAGGTAGTAGCAATCACGGCGACACTTGGCAGGATTCCTGGAGGCTGCACCCACAATCTGCCAGGCGCCGCACAACTGTGGCCTGAACGTTTTGGATTATCGACCCAATCATTCAACTGTGGAGTTTTTGCACAGAACTCCCACTAAAGTCTGGAGGTCCAGCCATGGGTGTGCCAATAACAATGGTGTGCTCTCTTTTTTTTTTTTTTTTTTTTGAAAAGGCTGTGCAGGCTGAGGTATATGCAGGCCCTAACCTGACGGCCAGTAAAGCTTTGGATGCTTTGTCCCCTCTCGAGGGTCTTAGAATCTCTTATTATAAAATAATTATGTCCATTTAAGGGCCTGATATCCACTTAATAGCCTTATATTCGCTTAAGGGCCTTACCCATTTGAATGCTTTGTCCTCTCAAGCACCTTATCCCTTTCAGTGCCTTATATGATTATATCTACATAAGCCACCAGTTCACCCAGACCTGTTTTTTTTTTTTTTTGACGAACCAAACGACGCATTTTGCCGAGCCTGGAAGTGAGTGGGTACCGGCCTCATTGAGAACGGAAGTGCTGGACCTGTTGCCAGCGGATGCAACGAAAAGCAGGGCGTTGTAGCGTACGTAGTGTTTTATTTTTTGAATTTGTAGCTCGTTCTTTATTTTTACTTTGTTTTCGCTCATGAGGCACGACAGCCTGGCCGACGAAAAAAGGAAAAAACAAATTGCAAAGGCGGAGATTGCAGCACTGACCAAATACGGAAAAGACGAGAAGGCAAAGAGAACAAACAGGCCTATCAGGGCGTACGTGACACTGGGACGTTTTCTGCACCGCTCTGGACGTGATTGCTGTCAGATGCGTTGACGTCGGAGTGCAATTGCAGTATGATGCATTCTGGAAAAGTGCTAGTGTGGGACAGGACCTGAACCCAGCGAACGGCCCTGGTGACTTTGATTGCGCAACGGGACGCTGGACCCAGTTTCCAGCAGGTGAAGCTCCCCACCAATAGATCGGAGCACCCAGAGCGGATCTGTTAGGGGGGGCATGCTCTTAGCAACTCCCCTAGCAGCGCCCCCTGCTTTCAAAAAAAAAAAAAAAAAAAAAGATGTGAGAACCCAGAGGAGTACGTACGCACATGCACAGTTTCCCGAATGCATCTGGCTGCAATTACCACCAGCGCGGGCCGAATCTGACTGCAAACATGTTCACAGCTTCGCGAAAGAAGTTCATCGGGTGTGTTGGCAAGATGGCGGCGGAGACGGTGGACTGACGACGATGTTAATTATTCCTATTCTGAATCCCGCGTATATGGGTTCGCTGTGTTGTCTCATGAGTGACTACTTGCCTTTTACCTGTGTGTGTGAGATTTGCTCTCACCTGTGTGAGTTGCTCGTATGTGTTTGGCCCATTGCCCATCGCCCATTGGCAGTGTTTGCTGTTTTCACATCTGGCGCCCGCCCTGCCATCGCAGCTCATGGGGTGGCGACTGCAATTCTTGAGGCCCTCCAGTCCTTTGCCTCAAAGCTCCACCAGCCCTGGGCCGAGTGGCCCAGGCCCGGTACTCGTCGACGAGAAATTGATGAACAGTTACAGCGCCCTGAACTGGTGGTGTAATAGCCCTATATCCTCTTAATAAGTCCCCTACCCATGTAAGTGGCTTATCTCCTTAAGTGTCTTATGCCCTTTAAGCATTAAGTAATAATAAAAATAAAATAAAATAATAATGAGATAAGATTCTAAGTTGCCTGTTGAATGCAACAGTGTTAAGGTTTGGGGCTGAAGTACAGAGGCAGGCAGTCTGTAAACAAGTGCAACGGTTTATCATTGCTTCTCTCACTTTCTGAACAACGGAGGCATCAGTTTATAAGAGTTTGATACGCCAATCGTGTGACCCGGCAGACAACATTATCGGGCCCAAAAGAGACGAGACAAAGGCCTCTCTGTCATAAGAATGGGTGCGAGTGCATGCCAAGGCTGCCCATCTGTCGGTCCGGGATTTTCTTCCCGAGCTGTGACGCTTTTGGACATTGGGTCTGTCATTATTGGTGAACCTATAAGGGGGTTCAAACCGTACTACAGGGGGTAAATCATAAACTACTGTTCACATTTAACTTCAGCGACATCCCTTTAATTAAGCAAGGGACCTGAGAACTGACTGGCGTAGCTCAGTTGGTACAGCCATGAACTGTTGAAATACAGACCTGAGTTCGAATCCAGATAGAACTAATTCTGATGAATGAAATCAACTTATTCTGAATTACCTGGGGTCGGTCAGTTTGACGATGATATCTCAAGGCCTTCGCCCTTTGGGGGGGAAAAAAAGGAAGGATAAAAAAGGGATGCTCGACCCAAATAGATTGGAAGCCTTTGCCAAAAAAAAAAAAAAAAAAAAAAAAAAAAAAGATTGGAAGCCTTTGCGCTCTGTGGCGCACTTCGGGTTCACCACTTTGTGATAGTCAGCTCGCCCCTCCTGGCGGGTCTTGGTAGGGGTGCTCCCCCCCTTCCAGTCACTCGAGGAGTTATATTTAGATTCAACCCTGAGGGGGATGGGTTCATCCCTTGTGGGGATCTGTAGGTTGGGATAGGTCAGATATGTGGTACTCGGAACTTTGAATCGTAGATCTGTGTAGCCTAGGTAGAGGTCTGCTGGATACAGGAAGTCCAACCCATAACTCTTACTGCACTGTGCCGTCAATGGCGGATATTACGGGAGGTAAGTAGGTAGTTAGTGGGGTAGCAAAGGAGGAAGTCCAACCCATAACCCTTACTGCACTGTGCCGTCAATGCGGATAGAACGGGAGGTAAGTAGGCAGTTAGTGGAGTAGCAAAGCGAGATGTGGATACAAGCTGAGTATGTTCCTGAGGTCAGGCCAGGGTATGTGAGTAGGTGGTGTGAGGTGGAAAATATTGAGAGAAGAAAATAGTGTAGTAAACGCAGCTGTCCCCCATATGAGGAGAAGACAGCCTGCATTTGAAAAGAAAAAAAAGAAGATTGGAGCCTTTGCTTAGTTGGTAGAGCACGAGAGCAGGATTCAGGAGGCTGTGGATTCGATTCCCTATGTCTTCCCCCCATTCTAAACCCCACGGCCTCCTGCGGTGCGTTGCAGGTTCAGCAGCTGAGATAGTCGGCTTGCCGCCTCTCGTTGGTCTTGGTAGGGGGTTGAGGGCGGCCCTTCTTCTGCCCCCCCCCCCCCAAATCCATTTCCAGGGGTTAGGAGTCTGGGTACTTTCTCCCTGCACAGAGTCGAGCTCCCTACCTTCTTCCCCCGAATACAACGTACGGTCTTTATAGCTGTATTTGGGGTATGTTTCAGTCTAAAGTTCTCTAAACACAGCTATAATGACCGTGCCTTGTATTCGGGGGAAGAAGGTAGTAATGCCTTGATGTCCTGGGGGTGTGAAGTGGGAAATATTGATAGAAAATATTGATAGAAAAAAAATATAAGCTGTCCCCCGGTGAGGAGAAAACAGCTCTTTAAAAAAACAGACACAGAAAAAAGAATATTGGAGCCTTTGCAATGACCCCAAGCTTCGAAGAACACGACAGCACAAGTCATCACACAATTTTTTGCCTTTTGTGTTCAATCACAAGAGCGTTGCACACCAAGACACGAGATATGAGTAAGTCAAATTATTTTGGAAAACAAAAAGTCATATGCAACAAATTTCTGTATCCAAGCTAGGCGGCTATGGCCACCAGCAACAACAACCAAGAATGAATTCTCCCTCTCTCTCCCTCTCTCTCCCTCTCAACCCTCAGGCCTCATTGCCTCTCTGCATGACATTGTCTTCTCGCTTGCTGTCCTCAGCTCAGCTATGGTGCCCAAAGCCTGTTGACTACAGCTACTGGCTCAGCTGCACTATAGCCTCACTTGTCACTTGTCGCGCAAGATTGCAGCAGCGCTTTCGCAACTACCGTCTTCACCTGAATAGAACGCCCAGTCATTATTGCTGCATTTGGCACAACTTTCAGTCCGGATGCAGCGATAATTACCTGGCGTTTTTATTCGGGTGAACACGGTAGCGGCATTGGAATTGTGTGTTGACAGCAAGTGCTGCTGTGCTTTTGCACCGGACGATTTCGCTTCCCTTCACTTCGACTCGTTGGACAAGTAACCCATAGCCTGCTGCCCGTTAGACTTTGGCCTTTGACGCTTCCGCAATGTTTACTGACTTTCCGGGACTCTGGGCAGCTGAGCTGCTTAAGACTGGACTGGACTTACGAAAAAAAAAGAAGGAAACCAGACTGGACAGGACTGCGCTCGGCCGTCGCAACCAATCGGGACCTGACGGGAGTGAACTCGGCCTCCTGACCTACCAGTTCGGAACCGCCTGGACCGGACTAACTCAGCCTACTGACCTACGGGACTCTTCTACCGTCTTCCAACGACGAACCGGACTCTTCGAACATCTTCCCCTGAATAGAACGTACGGTCATTACAGCTGAATTTAGGGTAATTTTCAGTCTAGAAACAGCGAGGATGAATGTAAGAGCTTTTCACAGGAAGATGGTAGACCTATCCCCCCATCTAGGAATGGGTCTATTGGGTTACACTGCTATGGTGGAACTTGAACTGGGTCCTGGAAACCGTTAAGTCCTTTCGCCTTTTGTTAATTAAAGAAAGAAAGAAAGAAAAGGGTTTGAAGAAGGAAGAAAAAAGGCAGGGTAACTCAATTTCATGCGGGGGAAAAAAAAACAAAAAACAAAAAAACACTTCATGCGGTTTGTGGTGATACTGTTGCATGTGCTGCTGTGTGGAACTGCCGCAGGGACTAGCACTACGAGGGATGACATTCGGAATATCGCCATCATTGCTCATGTCGATCATGGGAAGACGACTCTTGTCGATGCCATGCTCCGTCAAGCTAAGGTAATAAGACAGGTGGTGATTAAAAAAAAAAGAAAAAAAAAAGAAAAAAAGAAGACAAAAAAGGGACAGGCGGGAATGCTTCTCTTCGTCGCTGTTTTGCAGAACCATCTCTTCACATCTTCCGACTTCTGATCAGATTTCTCAAATAATGATATATTAAGTTAAACCACCAGTGCTTTCTAAAGCCGTGCCGGGAAACAAGCCACAATTTTAGGAAACGTACGGACGACTACAGGAGCGCCCAAATTCATCCGACTAGAAACGTTTCTACTCTATTTTGTTCCGGCGGCCAATAGCTGGGCCAAGTACTGGTGGTTTAATAAGAGTTGTTGAACATCTGTTAAAATTTTGGAACGATACAGAGAAGATTAGCATGGCCCCTGCGCAAGGATAGCACACGTAAATCGAAAAATGGTCCACGTAAAAAAACAAACAAACGAAATCGCTGAACAAATCGATAGTCAACTGGCTAACTTTTGTCTAAAATTAGTACATTTTTAAAATTACTGTCTTTTTTCTTTTTCTTTTTTTTAAAAGTACTGGTGGTTTAATTAAGCATATTATTTCATTCTATGCAGCTAGCTCCATCCGGATTTGAACTTGGGTCCGTATTTCGACAGTTCATCGGTGCACCAACTGATCTAGGCCCATTGGCACTCAGTTTCTTTCTTAGCAACTCACTCGGGTTAATTTTGTGATGCTATGTTCGTGCACGAACCTCGGGTAGGGGTCTGGATGGACGTCCTGGCCTAACGAATCCGGATGGCCTAACGATGTATGTACGTCCTGGCTTAACGGATCCAGATGGACTGAGGCCAGGACGCAGTTGTCAAGATGTCGTGTCCTGAGGTTACGTAATCGGCGGTCGTTCATGACGCACATCGGGAACACAGCTAGTTCAACAACGAGTTTTTCCTCTCATCTTTGTCACTTTACTTTTTTGGTATTTTGTAATCTTATTGGCATGATTCCTAGCTAGATTGTCATATATATATATTCCCGTGCAGGGGGTATAGTTAGTTACGGCCCGCCTAAGGTTGGCCAGACCCGGGCGGCTGCCTCCATGCCCACTCACCTCTTGTTCCCTGTTCTTTGGGATAATCCTTCTACGCTGGCTCATGCATGTGTCAGTTGCTTGGTGACATCTTTTTATGTAGACACTGAGTGTCTATCGGTGTAAGGCTCTTGGCATTGCTGCTGGTTGCACACTTATGCTGATTGCACACTCATCGGGAGACGCAGTTTCACATTTACACCA